ACTATAAATTTGCCATTTTTCTCCCTGCAGTTCAAATTTAAAAGATGACCATTATGATTTGTAAAAACGTCCGAATTTGGTCTCTTTTCTCTAACGGCCATAAATGTATTTCGTTAAACAAGGGACATTTCCGTTTTAATTGATTTTTTTGTCTTTTTACACAATAAAAAACAACAAAGTCCAAAATCATAAAATCGATTTTGATATGTTAATAGACAAAAAAATCTATAAGAAGACGAAAATGACTGTTTGGGTAAAAAATCCATAATATTGTCCATCTAGGATATTATCTACGATCGTGATATCAACAATCAAGATTCCCATCACCAAGAGGTAGGATGGTGGTTAGTGGTGGGTAGGAGTAGGGTAAGGTGAGGCGGGGGTAAAGGTAGGTGGCGGGGTGGTAGCTATGATGATGATAGTGGTCGGGTGGCTGGGGCCTAGGAGTGGGTAGGTATGACAACAACAATAGTGGCATGGTGTTTAGTGGTGCGTTGGGATAAGGTGGGGTGCGGGTGAGTGGTGGTTGTGAAGGCGACAATAATGGTGTGGCGTGGTTAGGGGCGGAGCGGGGCGGTGGGAATGGGTGGCGGGGTGGTAGCTATAACGACGACAATGGTGGGATTAAGTTAGAATATATATATGTCCTTTTCCAAATATGAACTACTATCAAGTCCATTTTTTCATGAAGTTTTAGACGTTTGCTGTTTTTAGAATGCAAAGCAACGTAATTGGTCATCTGTAAGCTATATGTACATTCACTAGAATGTGTAAATTTTTATTCGTATGAAATGAAAATGTAAAAAATAAGCACATTTAGCCTACCCCTTTGCAAATCATGTGATTAATATTTCTAAAGCTTTTCATAGGATACTGTAATACACATTGGATGCTCATGAAAATGGAAATAGTAATTAATCTAATTTGCTAATTAGTTTTAAGGAAAATTGCATTAAAATGGAACCAACTTTCACCTAATTCTTATTTTGAGGAACCAACTTTTAAAATCGTCATTTTGGAGAACCGACTTGCACCTGATTTCTATTTTGGGGAACCAACTTTCAAAATCGTCATTTTGGGGAACCGGATTTCTATTTTGGGGAACCAACTTTCAAAATCGT